GCTGAAACGTCAAGACTGGGCCAAGAAATATCTCAAGACTGATTTTTCTAAGGTTTTATGGACTGATGAAATGAGAGTGAGTCTTGATGGGCCAGATGGATGGGCCCGTGGCTGGATTGGTAAAGGGCAGAGAGCTCCAGTCCGACTCAGACGCCAGCAAGGTGGAGGTGGAGTACTGGTTTGGGCTGGTATCATCAAAGATGAGCTTGTGGGGCCTTTTCGGGTTGAGGATGGAGTCAAGCTCAACTCCCAGTCCTACTGCCAGTTCCTGGAAGACACCTTCTTCAAGCAGTGGTACAGGAAGAAGTCTGCATCCTTCAAGAAAAACATGATTTTCATGCAGGACAATGCTCCATCACACGCGTCCAAGTACTCCACAGCGTGGCTGGCAAGAAAGGGTATAAAAGAAGAAAATGTAATGACATGGCCTCCTTGTTCACCTGATCTGAACCCCATTGAGAACCTGTGGTCCATCATCAAATGTGAGATTTACAAGGAGGGAAAACAGTACACCTCTCTGAACAGTGTCTGGGAGGCTGTGGTTGCTGCTGCACGCAATGTTGATGGTGAACAGATCAAAACACTGACAGAATCCATGGATGGCAGGCTTTTGAGTGTCCTTGCAAAGAAAGGTGGCTATATTGGTCACTGATTTGTTTTTGTTTTGTTTTTGAATGTCAGAAATGTATATTTGTGAATGTTGAGATGTTATATTGGTTTCACTGGTAATAATAAATAATTGAAATGGGTATATATTTGTTTTTTGTTAAGTTGCCTAATAATTATGCACAGTAATAGTCACCTGCACACACAGATATCCCCCTAACATAGCTATAACTAAAAACAAACTAAAAACTACTTCCAAAAATATTCAGCTTTGATATTAATGAGTTTTTTGGGTTCATTGAGAACATGGTTGTTGTTCAATAATAAAATTAATCCTCAAAAATACAACTTGCCTAATAATTCTGCACTCCCTGTATTAGAGGGGTCTACCATACTGGTTACTATTCTTACCGACCACAAAACATATATTATTTTGGGGAGGCTAAGAAAATGAATGATAGACAGGCTCGGTGGTCTCTATTTTTATCGCATTTTAATTACAGGGTGATGTAGAGACCTGGGTCCCGTCAGTTTGAACCCTAATCCTTTACCGAACCCATCATACCTGCTTAATGCATTTTAGCCACAACTAAAACAGTAGTCAGTTCGGATCTGATAGAAAAGTTAGACAAGCTTCAGGATCAGTCATGCTTACCTATCCCTTCTGACAAGTTATACGTACGTCCAGTTCATAGAGAAAAGGTATTGTCGCTTATGCATGATGCCAAGACGGCTGGTCATCCTGGTATACAAAAGACCAAGTCTCTTCTAGCCAGTGGCGAAACTACCGCGGTCGCGGGTCCTGCCAGCTGAGTAATATGGCCCCGGCCCGCGCGGTGTTACCGCCGGGGCCGCATTGAAGGGGCCCATCGCTATGTAATTCCAGGGGGGCGGTCAGCGCTTTAACGGCGCGACCGGGCCCCTTCTAATAATGTCAGAGGCTGGGAGGAAGTGACTGCCCCAGCCACTTCCTCCCAGCAAGCACTGGGAGCCGAGCGGGAGGAAGGAGAGGGAGTCAGAGTGGGAATTCTGACTCCCATCATCCTGAGCCACCACTGGATCCCAGGGAAAGGTATGTGTGTCTGTATGTGAGTGTATGTATGTCTGTGTGTCTGTGTGTGTGTGTCTGTATGTGAGTGTGTGTGTGTCTGTATGTGTGTGTACGTCGGTCTGTATGTCTGTGTGTTTATGTCTGTCTGTGTGTCTGTATGTGAGTGTGTGTCTGTACGTGAGTGTGTGTATGTCTGTCTGTGTGTCTGTATGTGTGTGTATGTCTGTATGTCTTGCTGTCTGTATGTCTGTCTGTGTGTCTGTATGTGAGTGAGTGTGTGTCTGTATGTGAGTGTGTGTATGTCTGTGTGTGTGTATGTCTGTCTGTATTGTATGTCTGTCTGTGTGTCTGTATGTGATTGTGTGTGTGTCTGTGAGTGTGTGTATGTCTGTGTTTCTGTATGTGAGTGTGTGTATGTCTATCTGTCTGTGTCTGTATGTGTGTGTGTGTGTGTCTGTCTGTGTGTGTGTGTGTGTGTCTGTATATGTGTGTATGTCTGTCTGTGAGTGTGTGTAAGTCTGTGTTGCTGTATGTGAGTGTGTGTCTGTCTGTATGTGAGTGTGTGTATGTCTGTCTGTATGTATCTATATGTGTGTCTGTATGTCTCTGTGTGTGTGTGTCTGTCTGTGTCTATGTGTGTGTATGTCTGTGTCTATGTGTGTGTATGTCTGTCTGTGTCTGTATGTCTGTGTGTCTGTGTGTATGTCTGTGTGTATGTCTGTGTGTCTCTATGTATGTATGTGTGTCTATGTCTGTGTGTGTGTATGTCTGTCTGTGTCTGTATGTATGTGTCTCTGTGTGTGTATGTGTTTGTATGTATGTGTGTGTTTGTATGTATGTCTGTATGTGTGTGTGCCTGTATGTGTGTGTCTACATGTGTATCTATTTGCATGTGGGGGGAGGGGGTAACGTATGGGAGAGGGACGACAGACATATGGGAGGAGGGTGGCGGGGGGGTTGATTTACAAGGGGGGCCCAGGGCAATTTTCACACAGGGGCCCCGTGGTTTATAGTTACACCTCTGCTTCTAGCTAAACGTTTCTGGTGGCCCTCCTACAAGAAGGATGTCCGAGAATATGTCCTTGCTTGTAGCATATGTTCTGCAACAAGAACTCCACGCAAAAAAATATGTGGTTTACTCATGCTATTGCCTATTCCGACTAAACCATGGTCTAGTATAGCTATAGATTTTGTGGTAGACTTACTGACTTCAGAAAACAAAACCGTTGTGTTAACCATCATTGACAGATTTTCCAAAATGACTCATCTCATACCTTTGGCTAAGTTACCTTCCTACTCTGAACTAGCCACATTGTTCATAAGAGAGGTCATCCGGTTACATGGGTTACCTACTGATTTAGTCTCGGACAGGGGCCCACAATTTATTTCCCGATTCTGGAAGGCATTCTGTAACCAATTAGGTATACAAATGAATTTTACTTCCTCATATCATCCCCAGTCTAATTGTGCTACCGAGAGAATGAACCAATCCCTTGAACAATACCTTCAATGGTTTACTTCCGAATATCAAGACGACTGGGAAGAAGACCCGTGGAGGTTGATGTGGGAAACCCTGGGGATTTAGTGGCTGGCTTTGGGTACAAAGGGAACAGAGTCCCTTCCCATGCTATGGCCCCCTTAGAGGGGGAGGATCCTGGGAGGTGATCTTGCATGCTTTGTGTGATACACCCCTTGCATGGGGTATGTATAATAGCCGTGTGTGGCCAATAAAATTGTGTTGTACCTCCAGAACTAGGTCTTGTCCAGTTACTGGGGGGAAAATGGGTCTTGTTGCACTTTAGGTGGTTCCTGACCGGCTGAAGGAAGGGAATTAGCGGAGGTAGCTGATCGGGTTACCTGGAGTCCACTTAAAGTGTGTCATTAGACGATGTGAAAAGTGCACTGACGGCACAAGTGCTCTGTGCATGGGCAACCTTGAGTGGGCTAGCTAGTAAGGTGTTCAGAATACCAAGCTGACCCCCCCAACTCCCTTCCAGGCTATGTCCCTTTTACAGGTAATCTGCAAATTTCCAACTGTAAAGTCAATATCACTGAGCTATAAAAATAACTAACTTGATAACTTGACCTTGTTAGCTTCTAAAGTGGCGGGAGTAAGGGAATATACTTTTAAATAGTTTAAGGCAAGTTCTTTTTTGTATTTGATAAAAGCCATCCTTGGGCAGCGGGGCCTGAGTCGCAAGCCGGCCAGACATGTTCACTGGGAGCTCCTGCCAGCACAAACTTTAAATCAACTAAACCCACATAAAAATAGTGGCAAAAGGCTCAGAAACTAACTCAACAGGCATCTCAAATGACAGGGATACAGAAGATCCCAAACTACTTGCTCTTGAAAGAGTATTTTACCTTCTGGCCTTGCGGCCTACCAGGATTGCGGGCCCTACGGCTAGGGGAGGTGACTGATCTCCTGCTTACTTTCTTAGAGAACAGCCACAGACACCCCCCTCCCCCCCTGGACTACTTGCCTCCGAAGCCTGAAAGCGGCGGAGTCTCAGACCGCGTGGCGGATCAAAGATGGCCACCATACGGACTGCCTAGACTGGGCACGGGGCTTTGAGGCCAGATTTGAAACGCTGTGCCGAGATTTCTGGACCCGCAGAGCCAGCAGATCCAGCACTCCTATCTCACCTACCCAACTCCACCGCAGAAAGTAGATGTCTGTCACGGCAGCACTGCTGGGAAACCTGTCACTGTGCCAAAGGAGGGAATGCGGAGGCGGGTACCTCAGACACTGCCATATCGCCGAACGCCCAGTCATCCCTCAAGGCACAACCTGCATTGGCCTAAGAACGGCAAAAGAGGTCCTCACGCCCAATGCTCACGACCTAATAAGGCTCCTACCCAGCGTGATGTGAGGACACAGGCAATGGAGAGACCCGCGCAGGGCCAGCAAACACCACAACATCCCCGACAACCTACCTCAAGATCTCGCAGCTGTTTCTCTGTGGGGCACACTTGAGGGGGCCATGTCCACGCCCGCAACCTGCAAGGTGGTATGGGACACACTCGGCAACGCCGAACACGAGCACCGAGAGACTCTGGCCAGGCAGATGGCTCTTATTCTGTCAGTGTGGCACGGGAGCGCATCCCCACTTGGGGCCTAGCACTAATAGGCATTGGCTAAACAGCCTCATGCAGGCCCTCTAGTGTAAAGTTTTATTTTAAGGGCTTAAGATAATTGATTTGCGGCTCTACCATAGGCAACACCTTTACTAGTCTCGATTCTCCCTCTGTTTGATTTGTTGAAACAAGGGGGGGTGGCTGCATTCACCTGAACATGCATAAATGGGGTGATGCTGGGGGCCAAATTATACAATACACAAGATCCAGCGCACTCACCTATCCACTAAACAGCAACTTCAATGTTGACAGATTTTATTTGTTTTTTTTTTAAAAACACCTAATGTAGGCAAAAATAATGGGGGTTTAGTTACATTATATGATCATACATAGCAAATAAAATCTGTTAACATTAAAGTTGCTGTTTAGTGGATAGGTGAGTGCGCTGGATCTTGTGTATTGTATTATTTGGCCCCCAGCAGCACTCCCATTTATGCATGTTCAGGTGAGTGCAGCCACCCCCCTTGTTTAATATATTTATATTTGGGAGTCTAGCCAACGCCTTGGTTTTGCACCATCCCTGTCACAGGTGCCTCATCCCATGGTCCTATTTAGCCTTGCACTGCAGAGAGCCCCAGATAGATTTTTTTCCCCAAGTAAGTGGGTTAATCTCATAAGAGCAGACATTAGGCTGTTAGTGTAGGACCTGCCAAAGATGGGGTACATTGACGTTGTGGCAGGCTTCTGCAATGTAAGATTATATCAGCACATCTCTTGGTGAGCCTTGAGTGCTTTGGGGATGCGAAAGCATGAGTCAAGCCCTGCTTGCTTGGGGATCAATAAGGTCGCTAGTAGCCTCCTGCAATAGTGTGGCAGCTCCTGGTTCACAACCGATTCGGGCACTCCCCTGATCCGTAGGTTTCTGGCTTTAGTTTTGTCCTCCATTCCCGCTAGTTGTGCTGTCAGCGTTGCACATTGCTTTTGTAAGAGTCCCAGAGCTGTGTGCGTAGCCGCCTGTGCCATCCTTGTGCTCCCGAGGGATTCCTCAATGGAGACCACGTGGCCTGAAAGCGTGGAGATTTCCCCACGGACAAGCGCCATATCGGCGTCGAACATCGCCTTGTGTTCTGCGTTAATGCTTTTATATCAGCTTTCGTGCCGGGTGCTGCGTCACCTAGGTCTTTAGGCTGCTGAAATGTAGTTTGTTGGGGACTTGGAAGGAATCAGAGACCCTGTCTTCGTCTGAGGATTGTGGGGTAAAGACCTCCATCGGCGCCATCTTGCCGGGTTCTTGCCGCTGAGACAGGCGCATAAAAGTGCCGATATCTTTTGACCCCGAACCAGGATCTGCTCTGCTCTTCTTTGTTTTTTTCCCCATAGTGTAGGACGCTCTATGGATCTGATTGTTGGGTCCCAGAGGTTAATTATGTCGCTGTATTATCCTTTCTTTCGAATCTCACGTTAAGAGCTGCAGTGAAGTGCGACTTGCTCTTTCAGGCGCTTGCTCCGCCCCCATATTATTTTGTTTTACTCTATTAAGCATCCATGTAAGCAAAAACCATGGCGTATAAGCTAATGATCTTTTTGTTTTTCATATTATGCCTACTATGAATAACATCCTGCATGTCCTTTTACTATTAATCCTTGCCTAGCAACTGTTTAGCTATATATATTAGCATGTAATTTTGTAAGCTATACCCATAAGCATTGTGCCTACTTCACCTAACATGCAGGAGCTTAATCTAACGAATCCCACACCTGATATACCTGGTCTAAGATATGTTGAGACACACCCTTGTTCATAGGCGTGAAGCAACAGTTAACCAATGTATATGATTCTAATATAGCAACAGGTATCTCAGCACTAGTGAGTTTCACATTCCATATATAGGCTATAATAGACCATGTTTAAATAACCGATGCTAACAAAATGTTAAATGATTCAACTCTACAAATGTTCACGCAAAAGTTCAGCATGGTTTGTATCTTCACGTATGTTAATTATAATATAAAATTGTGCACGTTCACTCTACTACCCCAATTGTAAAGACTGATATGATACCAGAGGATTGCCGTTGGGGTACCTCAGGCTTGTATGTACCTATCTTATGCACTGCAAAAATATAATAAATAAATAAATAAATAAAAACCATCTCCTCCTAAGAGTCTTTTTTTATTCTTCCATTATTTAACCCCTTTATGATATGGGATACAGAAAACCCCATTTTATTGGGAGTTGTGGCATGTGTCGTGAAACGGTTAAGCAGACAAATCTTAAACACACCAGGTAGCGCTGGGCAAATTTCACACGCCACCATGCAAAGACCTTTGCCCATTTCTGTAAACCCCTTTTTAATATTTCTGTTTGGAGTGTGGACTGAAGGGAGAGCATGTTGCAAGATATGGCACGGACGGAATGGGTTAATCTGGCATCTGGACAAGGTTCTCACCAATGGTTTTGTGATGTTCTACTACTTGAGAGTAATAAACAACATTTGAATAGTCATCTGACAGAGTCAGCTGGTTGGGGACAAATATTTTTCACATAGAATTTCCAATGAAAGAAACTGCTTCGGTTACCTATAATTTGCATTTCTAACCAATAAGGCTTTTTCCTAATCCAGATTATACCCACCTGGGGAATATCGCATTTCTAATAATTCTATACAGCATAATCAGTATAAAAAACAAATTTCTTCCTTCAGCAGAGAGAGAGCAGTCATATAGAGATCGCATGTCTACTGTCCTAAAGATACTGTGGTATGGTTACCTATAACGTGCAGTCCCAACAATTAATATTTTTAGATTAATCCACTTTAAGTACACCAAGAAGATATCAGATTGCTAATTCTCATTTTACCATTTAATTGCGTCAAAGAAAACCTTTTATTTTTCATTGACATCGAAAATAAAGGATAACATGTATTATACCCTACATGTAGTATATTGTAATGCATACATCTAATGATTGTCCCTTTTCATTGCCTCTCCTGTTTTACCCTTGATTTATGTGAGTTGACATATTTAGGCCCTCTTTGGTCAGGTGAAACTCTTGTGTGGTCAAACAGAGTAATGAGTTCAATAATCCGCAAGACATGTATACGTTTTAAACCACAGTCCAAACAGGTTTAAGCAGTTCAGAATTTAAATGGTCTAATATACGGTATTCTTGTTTAAAGTGACACTATAGTCACTAAAACAACTTTAGCTTAATGAAGCAGTTTCAGTGTATATAGATCATGCCTCTGAAATATCACTGCTCATTTCACTGCCATTTTAAAGTTTTTAATCTCCTGCTCTGTAAATTGAACTTTAATTACATACAGAAGGCTCCTGCAGTGTCTAGGCAGCTATTAAAAGAGCAGGAGATGGGGCGAGGTCTGACTCGCAAGCTGGCCAGATGTGTTTCTGTGAGCTCCTGCCAGAACAAGTTCTCAATCAACCAAACTCTCATTTAATAGTGGCATAAAGCTCAGAATTAAATACAACAGGCACCCCAAAAGCAGGGATTCCAGGGATCCCACACTTTCGCTCCTGGAAGCTTAATCTACCTTCTGGCCTTGTGACCTACCAGGACTGCGAGCCAGACGGTGGGTGGAGGCGGCCAATCCCTCGCATGACACCACGCTTTCCGAAGTACAGCCACAATTACCCTGTTACCCCCCCTGTTCAGACCGTGGGGGTTATCCCGGTCCCCACTGGGCACTAGTCTATACCCACATGAATAGCCTGCAATCAACCAAGGCTCAGACCGCGTGGCAGTTACAAGATGGCCGCCATGCAGAAGCCCTCACTGCAGACAACCAAACTTAGAGACCCTGGACTGGATGTGGAGCTTTGAGGCCAGATTTGAAAAGCTCTGCCAAGATTTCTGGACCCGCACAGCAAGCAGCTCCAAAACGCTTATCTCACCTGTCCAAATCCATCGCAGAAAGCAGAGGCCTGTCACGACAACACTGCCCCATCCCTACGTACGGCAAAGCAAGGTCACGACAAGACCTGCTAGGAACCCTGATACAGAGCCAAAGGAGGGAATGCGGAGGCAGGTGCCTCCAACATGGCCATGTCGCCGAAAGCCCAGTCATCCTGTAAGGTACAACCTGCATAAGACTCTGAATGGCATGAAAAGTCCCGGTGCAAACCTTTCACGGCCTCACATGGCTCCTACCCAGCGCGCTAGGAGGTCTCCGGCACAGGCCCGCAACGACACAACACCTCCGAGAACCTACCTTCCCACTTCACAGCAGTACCTCAGTGTGGCAATATGGAGAGAGTCGACCCCATGCTCACAAGCCACTAGGTCGCCTGTTACACACCTATGCTCTCCGAATACGAACATTAGGAGGCCCTGGCCCGGCACTTGGACTATGCCCTTATACCGCTAGTATGGCATGGGAGCGCACCTACACCAGTGGATGGTGGCTCCCTCACATGCAGAAGGGTGGACACATATCTTCCAGTGTTAATAGCCTGCCAGCACTGGGCATTGGCTAAGCAAACCCACACAGTCCCTCTAACGCAACGTTTAGTTTAAGTGTGTTATAGGATTGTTGTGTGGCTCTAATATATGCAATAACTCTAATGACTTGGCGATAATCTTGATAACTTTAAAGACTCCTATATGATTCGACTCAGAGGAGAAACCCAGTGGTTATTATACTCTATCTGGCAATACTCGATCTTATGTTATTCTGTTTTCCTGTCTAAGCTCCTTTCTGCTTTTCATAATACGCCTCTTAATGCCGGCTCACGCGACCCTTTCATACTAATCATACTTTACCATATTATGGCATGTCTAACAGCATCCTTTAAACCTTGCTTGACCCATCGTATACAAAAATGTGCAATAACTCTGTAACCCATGACCATATTCTACTAAGTTTGATATTGAAGAGTTTGCAATAGCTGTCGTGGCATTACAAGCTTGTTCATACTTGCACGTCAAAAATAAAGAATTAAATAAAACTACAAAAGAGCAGGAGATTAATTCTAAATTAAACAGAATTTGCAATAAAGGAAGTGTAAACATTAGATGACTCTTTGCAGGAAGTGTTTAGGAAGACTGTGTATGTCCCATGCAGGGAGGTGTTGCTAGGGCTGCATATACAAAGTGATTTAACTCCTAAATGGCAGAGCATTGAGCAGTGAGACTGCAGTGGCATGATCTATACACCAAAACTGCTCCATTAAAATAAAGTTGTTTTGGTGACTATAGTGTCCCTTTAACCACGAAGGCTCTGGTTGCTTTAGACATGATTGTTCGTCTGCAGACTTCTTAAAGGACCACTATAGTGCCAGGAAAACATACTACCACCTCAGGGTCCCCCTCCCGCCGGGCTCTGGGGAGAGGAAAGGGGTTAAACTTACCTTTTTTCCAGCTCCGGGCGGGGCGCTCTCCTCCTCCTCTCCGCCTCCGATTCTCCTCTTCGGCTAAATGCGCATGCGCGGCAGGAGCTGCGCGCGCATTCAGCCAGTTTCATAGGAAAGCATTCATAATGCTTTCCTATGGACGCTTGCGTCTTCTCACTGTGATTTTCACAGTGAGAAGCACGCAAACGCCTCTAGCGGCTGTCAATGAGACAGCCACCAGAGGCTTTAGAGGTTGGATTAACCCATTTATAAACATAGCAGTTTCTTTGAAACTGCTATGTTTATAAAAAAAAAGTGTTAATCCTAGAGAGACCTGGCACCCAGACCACTTCACTAAAGGACCACTATAGTGCCAGGAAAACATACTCGTTTTCCTGGCACTATAGTGCCCTGAGGGTGCCCCCACCCTCAGGGTCCCCCTCCTGCCCGGCTCTGGAAACGGGAAAGGGGTTTAAACTTACCTTTTTCCAGCGCTGGGCGGGGAGCTCTCCTCCTCCGTTCCGCCCCGTCGGCTGAATGCGCACACGCGGCAAGAGCTGCGCGAGCATTCAGCCGGTCGCATAGGAAAGCATTTACAATGCTTTCCTATGGACGCTGGCGTGCTCTCACTGTGAAAATCAAAGTGAGCAGCACACAAGCGCTTCTAGTGGCTGTCAATAAGACAGCCACTAGAGGATTAGGGGGAAGGCTTAACCCATTAATAAACATAGCAGTTTCTCTGAAACTGCTATGTTTATTAAAAAATGGGTTAACCCTAGCTGGACCTGGCACCCAGACCACTTCATTAAGCTGAAGTGGTCTGGGTGCCTAGAGTGGTCCTTTAAGCTGAAGTGGTCTGGGTGCCTGGAGTGGTCCTTTAATAATCCTGTCGGTGGGACAGTACAGATTTTGGACCCTGTCCCTCTGTCCGTCTGCGTTTGTTCCCTGATGTCCTGCTTGTTTAAACAAGAGGGAACTGTCCCCACAAAGCAAAGTGCCAGTGCTAAGGAACGGGGCTGAACGCCATGCCAGACAGCAAATCCAGGGCGTTGGGAGGCACGATAATGCAAAACAAGCAACTTATATGATTAGTTATGGCTGACTAGCAAACTTCAAAGCTCTCTGTGCTCAGCCTCAGTATAACTTGGAACTAATTAATACTATTTTTCATTTTATTTTAACATCAACTACATGTTATTTAAATTATATAATAAATGTTACGTTTGAGTATATTCTTAGAACCCTTATGTATCTGTTTTGATTGAGTTGGAGTATCAGTGAAATTCTAGTGCAGTCATTATGATATGTTCATACTTTCTACAAAAGGAGAAATGCAGACTTTTTTTATAGGACACAATTCTAAAACTGTCAATCAGCAGGAACATTCTAGTGGATTCTAGAACTTTACTGCAGATTTGCTCTGTGTAATAACCCTCATTGAAGATAAAATCCTCTCAGATTATACAGTGCAGTAAGGCTCCAACTAGCCATCGATCCACTCTAGTATTTTCAGTGTTTGTGTAATTTAACTGAAATGGGAGGGGGAACAAATATTCCACATTAACATGGAGAGGAAATGCATTATTGAGGGAAGGACTTCACACATGCTCTGTCCCAGCAAAGGAAGGGAGGTAGGTAAACACATGGTGTTAGTGGTAAATTAGCTGTGAATACAGGCTGGTAGTGAGCTCTGTGAATCCCAGCTGTGAAATGCTGGTAGTGAGCAATGGTGAGGTAGTGTAAGTGACATATGGTGTTAGTGGTGAATTAGCTGTGAATACAGGCTGGTAGTGAGCACATGGTGTTAGTGGTGAATTAGCTGTGAATACAGGCTGGTAGGGAGCACATGGTGTTAGTGGTGAATTAGCTGTGATTCTATGCTTGTAGTGAGCACATGGTGTTAGTGGTGAATTAGCTGTGAATACAGACTGGTAGTGAGCACATGGTGTTAGTGGTGAATTAGCTGTGAATACAGACTGGTAGTGAGCACATGGTCTTGGTGGTGAATTAGCTGTGAATACAGGCTGGTAGTGAGCACATGGTCTTGGTGGTGAATTAGCTGTGAATACAGGCTGGTAGTGAGCACATGGAGTTAGTGGTGAATTAGCTGTGAATACAGGCTGGTAGTGAGCACATGGTGTAAGTGGTGAATTAGCCATGAATCCATGCTGGTAGTGAGCACATGGTGTTAGTGGTGAATTAGCTGTGAATCCATGCTGGTAGTGAGCACATGGTGTTAGTGGTGAATTAGCTGTGAATACATGCTGGTAGTGAGCACATGGTGTTAGTGGTAAATTAGCTGTGAATACAGGCTGGTAGTGAGCACATGGAGTTAGTGGTGAATTAGCTGTGAATACAGACTGGTAGTGAGCACTCGGAGTTAGTGGTGAATTAGCCATGAATCCAGGCTGGTAGTGAGCACATGGTGTTAGTGGTGAATTAGCTGAATACATGCTGGTAGTGAGCACATGGTGTTAGTGGTGAATTAGCTGTGAATCCAGGCTGATAGTGAGCACATGGTGTTAGTGGTGAATTAGCTGAATACATGCTGGTAGTGAGCACATGGTGTTAGTGGTGAATTAGCTGTGAATACAGGCTGGTAGGGAGCACATGGTGTTAGTGGTGAATTAGCTGTGAATGTGAGCTAGTGGTGAATTAGCTGTGAATGCTGGTAGTGAGCACATGGTGTTAGTGGTGAATTAGCTGTGAATACAGGCTGGTAGTGAGCACTCGGAGTTAGTGGTGAATTAGCTGTGAATACAGACTGGTAGTGAGCACATGGTGTTAGTGGTGAATTTCCCGTGAACACATGCTGGTAGTGAGCACATGGAGTTAGTGGTAAGTAAGATGTGAATCCATGCTGGTAGTGAGCACATGGTGTTAGTGGTGAATTAGCTGTGAATCCAGGCTGGTAGTGAGCACATGGTGTAAGTGGTGAATTAGCCATGAATCCATGCTGGTAGTGAGCACATGGTGTTAGTGGTGAATTAGCTGTGAATACATGCTGGTAGGGAGCACATGGAGTTAGTGGTGAATTAGCTGTGAATACAGGCTGGTAGTGAGCACATGGAGTTAGTGGTGAATTAGCTGTGAATACAAGCTGGTAGTGAGCACGTGATGTTAGTGGTGAATTAGCCATGAATCCATGCTGGTAGTGAGCACATGGTGTTAGTGGTGAATTACCTGTGAATCCAGGCTGGTAGTGAGCACATGGTGTTAGTGGTGAATTAGCTGAATACATGCTGGTAGTGAGCACATGGTGTTAGTGGTGAATTAGCTGTGAATCCAGGCTGATAGTGAGCACATGGTGTTAGTGGTGAATTAGCTGAATACATGCTGGTAGTGAGCACATGGTGTTAGTGGTGAATTAGCTGTGAATACAGGCTGGTAGGGAGCACATGGTGTTAGTGGTGAATTAGCTGTGATTCTATGCTTGTAGTGAGCACATGGTGTTAGTGGTGAATTAGCTGTGAATACAGACTGGTAGTGAGCACATGGTGTTAGTGGTGAATTAGCTGTGAATACAGACTGGTAGTGAGCACATGGTGTTAGTGGTAAATTAGCTGTGAATACAGGCTGGTAGTGAGCACTCGGAGTTAGTGGTGAATTAGCTGTGAATACAGACTGGTAGTGAGCACATGGTGTTAGTGGTGAATTTCCCGTGAACACATGCTGGTAGTGAGCACATGGAGTTAGTGGTAAGTAAGATGTGAATCCATGCTGGTAGTGAGCACATGGTGTTAGTGGTGAATTAGCTGTGAATCCAGGCTGGTAGTGAGCACATGGTGTAAGTGGTGAATTAGCCATGAATCCATGCTGGTAGTGAGCACATGGTGTTAGTGGTGAATTAGCTGTGAATACATGCTGGTAGGGAGCACATGGAGTTAGTGGTGAATTAGCTGTGAATACAGGCTGGTAGTGAGCACATGGAGTTAGTGGTGAATTAGCTGTGAATACAAGCTGGTAGTGAGCACGTGATGTTAGTGGTGAATTAGCCATGAATCCATGCTGGTAGTGAGCACATGGTGTTAGTGGTGAATTACCTGTGAATCCAGGCTGGTAGTGAGCACATGGTGTTAGTGGTGAATTAGCTGAATACATGCTGGTAGTGAGCACATGGTGTTAGTGGTGAATTAGCTGTGAATACAGGCTGGTAGTGAGCACATGGTCTTGGTGGTGAATTAGCTGTGAATACAGGCTGGTAGTGAGCACATGGTCTTGGTGGTGAATTAGCTGTGAATACAGGCTGGTAGTGAGCACATGGAGTTAGTGGTGAATTAGCTGTGAATACAGGCTGGTAGTGAGCACGTGATGTTAGTGGTGAATTAGCCATGAATCCAGGCTGGTAGTGAGCACATGGTGTTAGTGGTGAATTAGCTGAATACATGCTGGTAGTGAGCACATGGTGTTAGTGGTGAATTAGCTGTGAATACAGGCTTGTTGTGAGCACATGGAGTTAGTGGTGAATTAGCTGTGAATACAGGCTTGTAGTGAGCACATGGTGTTAGTGGTGAATTAGCTGTGAATACAGGCTTGTAGTGAGCACATGGTGTTAGTGGTGAATTAGCTGTGAATACAGGCTTGTAGTGAGCACATGGTGTTAGTGGTGAATTAGCTGTGAATACAGGCTTGTAGTGAGCACATGGTGCTAGTGGTGAATTAGCTGTGAATACATGCTGGTAGTGAGCACATGGTGCTAGTGGTGAATTAGCTGTGAATACAGACTGGTAGTGAGCACATGGTGTTAGTGGTGAATTAGCTGTGAATACATGCTGGTAGTGAGCACATGGTGTTAGTGGTAAATTAGCTGTGAATACAGGCTGGTAGTGAGCACTCGGAGTTAGTGGTGAATTAGCTGTGAATACAGACTGGTAGTGAGCACATGGTGTTAGTGGTGAATTTCCCGTGAACACATGCTGGTAGTGAGCACATGGAGTTAGTGGTAAGTAAGATGTGAATCCATGCTGGTAGTGAGCACATGGTGTTAGTGGTGAATTAGCTGTGAATCCAGGCTGGTAGTGAGCACATGGTGTAAGTGGTGAATTAGCCATGAATCCATGCTGGTAGTGAGCACATGGTGTTAGTGGTGAATTAGCTGTGAATACATGCTGGTAGGGAGCACATGGAGTTAGTGGTGAATTAGCTGTGAATACAGGCTGGTAGTGAGCACATGGAGTTAGTGGTGAATTAGCTGTGAATACAAGCTGGTAGTGAGCACGTGATGTTAGTGGTGAATTAGCCATGAATCCATGCTGGTAGTGAGCACATGGTGTTAGTGGTGAATTACCTGTGAATCCAGGCTGGTAGTGAGCACATGGTGTTAGTGGTGAATTAGCTGAATACATGCTGGTAGTGAGCACATGGTGTTAGTGGTGAATTAGCTGTGAATCCAGGCTGGTAGTGAGCACATGGTGTTAGTGGTGAATTAGCTGAATACATGCTGGTAGTGAGCACATGGTGTTAGTGGTGAATTAGCTGTGAATACAGGCTTGTTGTGAGCACATGGAGTTAGTGGTGAATTAGCTGTGAATACAGGCTGGTAGTGAGCACATGGTGTTAGTGGTGATTATGTGATTACTGATGAGAACACGTGTTAGTTCGAAACACTCTGCAGTTCAGATAGTTCTCCAATTTAGGCTGGTTTTATTAAAGGGTTACTTCAAGCACCATCACCATTTTAGTGATTTGAAGTGGTCATTGTGACTGGAGTGGTTATGGTGCGTTTCGCTATGAAACGCAGCACATTCAAAGGCAGCATCATTGTGGCATCATTAGCTAGCCTGGTACTAGTAGCTAATGTGAATTCTGTGCATATGAGACGTCAGTGCGCACAGCACGCTGGTAACAGATGTCCAATGGAGGTACAGCTCCTCCCTGTCACCTATGTCCTCCTTTCATCCGTCTCCTCTGACTTCTTTTTCCATTCAGCTAATGACATTGGCAGAAAAAGATTAGGCTGCGGGGAGAACATGGCCTCAGTGCTGGACCACATGTAAGCCCAAACTTTATTTTATTTAAGATTTTTAATTAAGGGCGGGGGCGGGGGGGACCGACCAGTACAGAAAGGGTTACTTTAACCATCAATAGAGTTTTATGAAACTCAAAATATAATTAAAATCAGACACCAGTCATAATCTAATTTCACAGTAATACAGTCTGGGCCCCTAGACATCTCTACAGAAACTAGGAATAGCGGGTGTGTTAGGAGTACTTTATTATTTTACAATCATCTTCCAGATCAGTATTAGTAAGAGGGGAAAAACAAAGTATAAACTTGTTTCATATTCTACATTGATTGCTCTAATCTCATGACCAATACAGTGTGCTGTAGTGGTTATGGTGCCAGGAGTGCCCTGGCGCTGTCCCAGAAGTATAAGTCAAACTGTTTTTCGAATGGTTCGCTAGTTACCTGGGTACTGCCAGTACCACGGTTTATCCCTGTTCACAGATATAATTAAAGCACAACTGCTCACTTCCAGATTAGTGACATCAGTGCTGCACGTGGACGACATTTATTGGTGGAGATATCTCAGAGCAATCTGGTGCTTGTCTTGGAGAAGCAATGGGGCCCTATAGTGTATGTGCTGAGAGAAGCACTGAATCTAATGCCTACAACCCTCCTGGCTGTCTTATTAGCAGCTTATTTGTCAAAGGGCAAACTCCTCTTGGAATTGGCAAGCTTATAAAATAAGACAAAGTGGGCACTCTAGTAAACCCAACGGTACCAGAGAAAACTGAAAGAGGGAAAAAAACAAACTATGATCCCCTTGCCACTTTTCCATGCTCTCTCGAATCTGTAACGATTTAACCTGCAGAATTTTTTAATTGAGCAATGCTTTCCTTTGAGGAAATCCTAATGCTACCCAAGTTCAGTGCTGGACCCAGGTAAGTGACAGAAGGAGGTTATTAATCCCCTTGATGGTGGGTTCTTGACAGAGGGGGAAGCTATAGTGCCAGGAAACCGAGTTTGTTTCCCTTGAAAGATGCCAATTCTTGTTCTCATTAGCCATTTCAAGTGATTGATAATTGTAAAAAGCAAGACATGGAGGCAGGCAAGACATGGAGGCAGAATCGGTTCGAAGCTGGGCCATTTGCAACATTTTGCAAAGTTAGATGATTTCAGTGAAAGTCTAGCGCAGTGTTAAAAGGTTTGTCATATAGAATCTATCCATACTATACAGTGCTGCTATAAAACTAGAGCTTATTTGAGTGGTTATGGTGTCGAGTTTTGAGATGCAATATACTTCTGCCTGGCGCCATTCCAATTCATATCATGGATTTGAGCAGTGACTGGTTGAGAGCGCTAAGCTGACATTCTGTCTGTTGCTGCCCCTTACCTGGTATGGTGTGAAACCTCTGCCATTTTGTCATTGGAGGCCAGGCTGCCAGGGACTGGGCATTTCTGGTAATAGTGAGTAAACCGTTTCGCAGTAACGCAGGACCTGGTACCCACAGATTCCAGGCACCATAAAAATAACAAAATAGTTTGAAGTGGTTATGGTGCCACCAATGTTCCTTTAACCCCTTAAGGACACATGACATGTGTGACATGTCATGATTCCCTTTTATTCCAGAAGTTTGGTCCTTAAGGGGCACTATAGTCACCTAAATTACTGTAGCTAAATAAAGCAGTTTTAGTGTATAGGTCATTCCCCTGCAATTTCACTGCTCAATTCACTGTCATTTAGGAGTTAAATCACTTTGTTTCTGTTTATGCAGCCCTAGCCACACCTCCCCTGGCTATGATTGACAGAGCCTGCATGAAAAAAAAACTGGTTTCACTTTCAAACAGATGTAATTTACCTTAAATAATTGTATCTCAATCTCTAAATTGAACTTTAATCACATACAGGAGGCTCTTGCAGGGTCTAGCAAGCTATTAACATAGCAGGGGATAAGAAAATCTTAATTAAACAGAACTTAGAATAAAGAAAGCCTAAATAGGGCTCTCTTTACAGGAAGTGTTTATGGAAGGCTGTGCAACTCACATGCAGGGAGGTGTGACCAGGGTTCATAAACAAAGGGATTTAACTCCTAGATGGCAGAGGATTGAGCAGTGAGGCTGCAGGGGCATGTTCTATACTCCAAAACTGCTTCATTAAGCTAAAGTTGTTCAGGTGACTATAGTGTCCCTTTAAGTGCAATATTTACTCATGGATGCACTCTAGGCAGGCACTGAATGCCACCTGTGACACATACAGTGTAATCTTTATCATTTAATGCATTATGTATTAGTGAACGCTAATGTGTATCTGGAAAAACTGACCAGGTTTTGATGTGTATTCCAAGCATGCTTTGGGAAACTGTGCATTAATTTCACTAAACTGAAAAACTTTTTATTGAATAGGTCCTGGCACGAGTGATAGTACTGTGACGTCTCTCTTCTCTTGTTAGGAACACAACTTAAACCTGCAGGGTACAAGTCGTTTTATACATTTACCAATATTGAAAAAAAAATGTCAGAACGCAGAGAACGAAGGCAAAAAAGAGGAAGAAGAGAAAAAAGAAAATATTTGGTTACTGTAGATCTGTCTCAACCAGAGAAAAACTCCCAGGCCAATAAAGTAAGTCTAACAGATGGAAAGGGTACGGGGTGGAAATTCAAATCTGTTCTATTTGTCATTTCTTTGCAATGTGAAATATGTATAGTTTAATATTACCCAAACATCTCTCCATTTTTAAATAATTTATAATATCCTGCTGAAATTAGTGATCCCCACCGATAAAGGCTTAATCTATTCTCCTAGTGCACACCAGATATTTATTGTATAGACATCTATGCCAAGAGAATCAGGGGAACACTCCTACAAGCTCTGTATCTGCTGTGATTACTCCCAGAGAAAGCATCTTGGACTTTGTTTGGGGAATATAACATTGTAGCATATGGCTGTGCCCCACTTGGGGATATATTAGACAGGGGTGAACAGCTAGAGAGAGTTAGGGAGTGTTGCAGTTGTGTATATCTTATTTAGTATTTCGGTGTATCTCTGATCATTGTTATCTATTATGTATTTGTTACTTAATGATATAAAGGAACACTTATGTACTGTAGTGATGATGGTGCCAGAACTTCCCTGGCACTTTCCGAAATGCCCTCCCAATGCAAGTCAGCTGATCACTTCCCTACTCCGTGGATGCTCACCCAGAGTCCACTCCTTCAAAAAATTATTAAAAACCCACTTAATAAAAGCGTATCAATTAAACTGTTAATAGCTCCTGACTGATTCCTCTTCTGCAACTGTCACTAGTCTAATACTATCCTTACCTTTTTTGTGTCATTTTACCTGACTCCCTCGAGCATGTAAGCTCATTGAGCAGGGCCCTTAACCCCTCTGTTCCTGTGCGTCCAATTTGTCTGGTTACAACTACATGTCTGTTAGTCCACCCACTGTAAAACGCTGCAGAATTTGTTGGCGCTATATAAATAGTAACATAATAATAATAATCACGCTCAGCCATTGAGCTAAGCCCTGCATTGCAGAGAGCAGTGCCTGCAGATCCCAGGTAAGAAGTGAAACTATAACTACTCACATTGGGGAGGCTATAGGGCACTCATGGCACCATAACCACTACAGCATGGAGTGTTCCTTTAAAATGTAAATGTCATGACAGGCTCAATTTAAGTAAGCACCTTAATTTTCTGAGTCATTTCCTGTTTGAAGAGAGCTCTCCTGGGAAGTTGCAGACCGAGGGTTTTGCAAAAGTGTGAGTATCTTATTTTATTGTTGTTATTTTTAATGTATTTTTTTTTTTGTGTATTTATTTTATTCATTAAATTAAAAAATAATGAGCCAACTTCAACCTGGTTTCTCAGTAGCTGGGGCCCTTATGAGGTCTAGAAAGATGCATTGACATCTTTCCTTGGTATCACGACTTGGTGGATACAAACTGTCAAGAAACCAAGTTGATCTCCTGACCTGACCAACCCGTAAAGACAGTAGTGTCTCAAAATGAGCAGAACCCTAGAGAACACCCACTTTATTCCGTGTGGTCTATTAGGAGGAGCAGTAACTAGACACTGATCATATCCTGGCGCCCTTATTTACTATCACAATGGAAGCAGAGGAAGGAGATCTCTTCTTCTAAGACACATCCATATCTCCGTCTTATGCTGGCCACATGGAAATCTCTACTCAGAGTTCACTGTTATCACTGTTACAGTCCATTTAAACTATATGTAATTATTCACTGTATGCAGGCAGTAATCAACCAGTTTGCCAATGGTCATATTTTCTCTAAATTAAAAAGATAACACATTATTTCCCTTTTTTGATTACAGAAGAAAGGTACTAAGAAGAAGTTGAAGGTCAAGCGTACTCCCAATGAAAATAATCCTTCTGCATCCGCAGTGCGACCCCTTGTTGAGCCTCCTTGTGCCCCTGCCCAAAGTGTACCCTCTAGACGTGGCAATGCAGATTGGTGTAAATGTGGCAAATGTGTTGCCATGCCAACGGAAATGGAGTCAGTGTGTTGTAAAGAGATCCCTAAATGCAATGATCTGATCCTGGAAGGGATGTCCTGCATTGTTGATAATAGTCGATTTCACGTCCTGTGTCTGAGCGCATGTGGAGCAAGTGTTCCACACACAATTCTGGGAGACACTGAAAATATGCGAGAACGTGCATATTATAACAGGTACGTATAATTTGGAATTTTAACATTTCTAATGTTCTGCGTTCTTCCTTAGGGGATATGTCTTGGTCAGAGTTTGGTCCATTTTTCTTTGGAGAGGGGAAACCTGCTGCTTTGATTCAGTTGCTTAATGGACTCACTTTAATGAAAACATTAATTTTAAAACTGAAGACATTATTTTGTTGTATGACTGTATGAAGGGTGTGTCCTCTCTTTTCATTTTACAAAAAGTGCAGATTTCAATGGATATTGGCACTTTTATAAATGAACCTTGTTACACCCCCCTGGCTGTCAATCAGAAACCGATCCTGTTACTTCCTGGTTGTTTAGCTCTGTAGAGCTAACCTCATGAGGCAGACAGTATTTATATTGGGTAGTGGATTGTCCCTTTAAGCTGCAAGTGGATGCTGTCTGGTGTCATAGGCTGGATGGTAAAAACCACAAGATCTCCTAAGACACCCACTTTTGAGCCCATAAAAGGGGTGTCAATTCTTTCTGCAGACAAATTGACATATTTAAAAAAACAAATAAAGTAACATATATACATTTGGATGAATAATGGTTTTATACTATAAAAAAATAATAACTATAACACAATATCAAATTCAACAATTTTAATGCATAATTCAGGTTTTATGAGCATACAATAATTACGTTGTACAAAGTGCACACGTAGAATATAAGCAGATAAAAGATTGTACAAATATAATCAGACGTAACATACAGTCTTGCCCAAAAACCGTCAGTGGTTATATAACATAGCACTTTGTCAATTATTTACCATTACTGCATATTTGTCAGGGTTATCAGGTCTTTATGTCAATGCAATCATAATCTTAACAAAGCATAAGAAAAAAACAAATGAACATTGAGATAAAAGAGAGGTCCTAAGAGAAGAAAGAAGGGGAATTATTATTCTTTCCTGACCGGGGTCTTCTTAAAGGGATATGATTAGAGTTGAGCGAACCCGAACTGAAAAGTTCGGGTTCGTACCGAACATTACGTTTTTTGGACCCCGGACCCGAACACGGACATATCACTGAGTTCAGTGATTTAATGACGCGTTTTGAAAGGCTGCAGGGCAGCCAATCAACAAGCGTTTGACTCATGTGCCCTTAGAAGCCACCACAGCCATGCCTACTAATGGCATGGCTGTGATTGGCCAGTGCAGCATGCGACCCAGCTAGTAGGGGCATGTATATTAAACAGTGAGCGGCCTGTGGTGGGTGGGTGGGGGCCCTACATAACAATAAGGGGGTGACCTACTGTCCTCCCCCCCTGGCCCCCACCACTGCACGGCGGGTGGGGGCCATAAATAAAATATGGGGGGCGGGGAGACCTAATGTCCTCCCCGCTGGCCCCCACCCCTGCGCGGTGGGTGGGGGCCCTAAATAACAATAGAGGGGGACCTACTGTCCTCCCCCCCTTCGCCCCCACCCATGAGCGGTGGGTGGAAGCCATAAATAAAAATTGGGGGGGGGGCACCTAATGTCCTCCCCCCCGGCCCCCACCACTGGGCGGTGGGTGGGGGCCATAAATAAAAATTCCCCTCCCCCCCAAACCCCTAGTCACCTTCCTCCCCCCCAAGAAATGACCCCTACCTTCCCCCCTCACCCTAAAAATAATGAGGGGGACCATTAACTAGATACCTATAAAAAAAAAAACAACTTACCATTTGATGTCTTCTTTCTTCTAAAATCTTCTTTTTTCAGCCCCAAAAAAGGCCAAATAAAAATCCATAATTATCGATGCACTTTAAAAAAAATAAATAAACGAGCGCAAAAATAAATAAATCCTTCTTCAGCTCTGCAGGGCGGGGGAAGGTTTATAAAGCCTTGCCCCGCCCTGCAAATAGGCTCAGAGCACTCTGATTGGTGTGTTTAAGCCATCCAATCAGAGTGCTCTGACAGGTAAATGAGGAGACTGACAGGTAAGTCTCTACAATTACCTGTCACAGCACTCTGATTGGTTGGCTTGAAATCCATCCAATCAGAGTGCGTCAGTTATACTGGATTTTTATTTGGCCTTTTTTGGGGTTGAAAAAAGAAGATTTTAGAAGAAAGAAGACATCAAATGATTTTTTTTTTTTAAACAGGTATTTAGACAAGGGTCCCCCCTCATTATTTTTAGGATGAGGAGGGTAGGTAACTTTTTGGGGAGGGGGTGACTAGTGGTTTGTGCCCCCCCTCCTTAGTAGGTCCCCCCTTATTGTTATTTAGGGCCCCCACCCACTGCGCAGGGGTGTGAGCCGGGGGGAGGACATTAGGTTTCCCCCCCTTCCAATTTTAATTTATGGCCCCCACCCACCGCTCAGGGGTGGGGGCCGGGGGGGGAGGACATTAGGTCTTTACTTAGTATTAGTAAATGTGGCTGAAAGACCAATTTAGGTGACCAATTTAGGTATTTCAGCCTTTTGGTAGATAGCTCCCTAATACCGTGGGAATTAGGGAGTTATCTACTAAGCGGCTGCTTATTTTATGTTATTTTTAAGTGATTTCCCTATCCACATTTTTTTGCAGGGCACTTGTCCTACTCTTACCCCCATTTTACTTCCTTTTGCAGCCCTCTAGCCCTTTCCAGGAGTTTTTTAGAGCCAATTTTGTGCCCAAAAGTTCGGGTCCCATTGACTTCAATAGGGTTCGGGGTCAAGTTCGAGCCAGAACCCAGACTTTTTTCAAAGTTCGGCCGAACCCGCCGGACCCGAACATCCAGGTGTCCGCTCAACTCTAGATATGATAGCTCCCTCGCGGCCCCCACACTGTAAGGGTTAATAAACCCCTACAGTACTTAACAGATTCCAGCACCAATCTCCCTCTGTGCTGGGTCGACACTCGGCCTCCTCAAGCATCACCCGCTGGGGGGGGGGGTTGGGCCTTAATGCGCATGCGTGGCAAGCGCTGCGCGCACATTAGGCTCTCCCAATAGGAAAGATTAACAGCCACTAGAGGCAGTCTTAAGCCTGCAATATAATTATTGCGGTTTATTAGGAACCAGACAACCATCTCTTTAATTACAGTACTGACATTTTTTTTAGACAGACCCTTGTTGATTAAACCGGTTGGGAAGAATAAATCAAACTAATAAACAGAGTTTCTGGGGCAATTTGATAATTTGGCAATTTATTGGTAAAAGCACGAGATTTATAAAGGTATATTTTTAATCTCTATGAGTGACACAGAATCAAAATAATACTAACAATTCGTTGGTTAGTAAGTTATCATTTAACTTCCAGAGTTCTGACGCATACCTTATGTTGTTTCTGTCAAATTATGGATGTTGTACAATACTTAACCCCTTAATTGTTGATCACCAAATAAACTCTTAATACTCTTATATGTTTATTATTTTATCACTGCAAACGTTATGCTTTATCTTGAGATATATATCTATGTAAATGGTATTTATAACAAATATCACTTAATCTGCAATTGTTAATGTTCATAGACTGGTAAAATTTTAAATATGGCTTCCTAGCTTACAAAATGGCTGTATAAGGTTTAAAATGTCCAACAGGAATATAGGGGGAAAGATGCAGGAAAGGAAGAAGGACATGTGGTAGTTACCATGGAAGACAGTCCCCAGTCATCAGAGAAATAAATAAGTTTTTTGGTCCTGAGGAAAGTTCTGAAGGAGGACTGACACATTGACCGAATGATTAAACTTTTATACCAAACAGACTTGGGAAGCTCAAAATGAAAAATAAAGGAAAGCTTTGTAACTGAAAGTCCTTGAGTGCTACCATTTTATTTACTATATATTGTATATGAATAGCCTGGTATGGCTGCTTAATGCCAAGTATATGCCAGGTATAACCAGCATGATTGCTTAAACAGTCTGTGGCACCATTAAAATTCAGTCCTACTTAACCCTCAACACGCAGCCTCGTCTTGTGATTGTAGGGAACAGCTATACCAGCTATAATGCCTGCTCCTGGAAATGTTCTGTGGATTATTATACAGTCTATAACCACTAGGTCTTGTAAGAGCGTCACAGCTATACTCTCTTGGAGGAGAGGCTTTCCCTCTGAGTGCTGGATCCAGGAGTTAGGTCCAGGGTGGGAAGGGACGGCAAGACCCCAACCAAGCTGCAGCGGTTAGGGGACTTACGGTGCTGACGGTGTCCAAGGCGGTGCTCATGGTCCTCAGCGTCAACTAGGAAGCATTGATTGGTGGAGGCACACAGTCAGGGTGTCAGGTGGTCCGTCACACAGCCAGTGTGCGAGGATTTTTTATTCCCATTTTCATATATATACACACACACTCTCACATACATACACATATACTTTCTCCCTTTCCTTTTAAAGGCTAAGCAATAAACCAGTAGTAATTGCATATATTTAATATGTAAATGCATTTGAACCATAACATTTATAAGTTGTGTCCGAATGTATATCACCAGGCTGTGTATGTCCAGTAGAACCAGTTCATTGGTAGAAGGACAATTACTCTGGATCATGGGGGTATCAGTCCTCTGGTTGTCGCGGGGGTAATCGTTGGTGGTCACCATCATCCGAAGCACTCTGTCTCTGTGGAATGCACTGTGTCAGGAAGTGGTGGCCTGATAAGGTTGGTGGTGTAGTGCGTCCAGCGGTGCCAAAGTCGTCCTGTCAGAGACTGGGGGGACTGGAAGTTGAAGAATTTCACAGAAAATAGAAATATTTTAGTAGAACGATAGAAGCTGCAGTAGATCTCCGTCTCTCTGTCTCAAACGGAAAGTTCCATATGTATTATATACCATTGGGGTTAAGGAGCTCTATGATAGGGCGTAGTGCTCTTCTAATTTGCAGGGTAATACTGGAAAGATCATTGCATAGTTCCTCTGATTGGTCATGAAATCTCCACGTCCGCCTGGTACGGGCATTGAGCATAATAGCTCCTTAGTGGATGTCAGGGTACATGTTAATTGTTGCCAGGCTAGGACACAGCTGGGGGACAGCTTCCATGTGGAAGGGGACCGTTCTCATGGTCCTCCCTTTCTCCTCAGTGGTTCCCATGCTAACCTATGTAGCCCCTC